CCCCTTTGGTTTGAAAAGTGAGTTACCGGTTCCTTTCCTGATGCGACTCATCATCATCCCCACCAAGAGCCTGAGAATGGAGACCCAGATGCACAGTACATCAACACCATCAAGCACATCTACATGCACAAGAACAAGTTGCCAGTGAACATGTGCACAGAGGCATGCAGAGGTGTAGCACGCTGGTGGGACCATGGGAGGCACTTCAGGGTGGGACTGTTGGCTATGAAGTATATGCTTGACCTCATGGGTGGCATGCAGATTCGGCATTGGGTAGTTCAACCAAAATTCACCAAGAAACAAACCATCAACAATGCAACCCGCAGCGCAGGACACCAATTCATTAGAGACAAAGGTCCCAAGTGCAACAACAAGAATCAGTTTATGGAATGGACCGATGAACCAATCCACACCGCAGGCAGCCCCATTGAAAATTGGAATGAAGGAAAAGTCATCACAGCCTTGCAGAACTACATGAGAGGCACACAGAAGGTTAAAACTCAAGAGTTTCAAGGCATGGTTCTTCAATGAAGTCTTGGTCCACATGCTCCCCACCATCCGGCAGAATGCCATCACATGGTTAGGCAAGACTCGTGCAGGCAAATTTTCGCTTCCAAGACCATTGCGTTCATGCAGAGCAAGTTTGAGGTCACCCAGGATCAGCGGGAGGGTGAGTTAATCCCTTCCATTGTCACCGCAAAGCACTTAGACTCAGACTTTTTCAAGGCAGAACCTTTGATTAATTAAGCGCAAGCCAGGAGTATTTAATGATGGTCAGATGCAGAAGAACGACGCACCCTTCCTCAAAGCTTTTCTGAATCCATCTGAAGCTTAGCTTCTAAACGGCTATGGCTCAAAATTAGGGTACCAAGTATAGCCCACAAAGAGCTGGTTAAGCATCAGGTTATATATATCTAATTTTAGGGATGTATAATTTTGAGTCACAGCCATTTATTTATACAGCATTTTTGTTGAGCCATAGTTTGGTTTCACAGTAAGTGTCTACATGGTAAAGATGATCTAATGCTTTAGTATTACGATATTTGTCACACTTAGTAAGGAAGAAGATGCCACAGTTTGGGCGCGCTACTCCAGCGCATACTTTGAACAATCCGCGGGACGCCAAGCGTGCGGCAACCCCTACAACCAGGATTTAGACAATGAATTGGCAAAGCGCATGGAGGAAAAGGGCATGAACAAGATCACCTTTGTGGAATTCTTGGATCTCATTCAACCATCATTTGCTGCAATTGACAGTAAAGAGGATATGGATGCCATTCTTGCGCGCACTCATGTCATTCTTCTAAGTGAACATGGTGTGTAGTGGAGGGTTGCAAGCATTGAGAAATGGAGGTGAACTTCGAGCCATGGCCCAAAGATGAAATAAAGATCTCCTAGCTGAAGACCAGGTTCCCATCTTCAAGGCATACGAGAAGGCAAACCCTACCAACCATCAGCTTCCTCCCAATTTCCATGAAGACAGCGTGTGGTCACAGGAGGTGTTGTGTCGTTGGGTTGCAGCTGGGTCCATCCCCAAGATTGTCACCTATGTTCGTCATACAGGAGTGTTCGGTCAAGAGGTTCCTGCCCGACAAGTTGCTCCTGCAGCCATGCCAGCAGTAGAAGCAAAGGCCAAGGTGAAGCAAGAACAGATCAACCATGCTTGGCGTTCTTTGAAGCGAGCAGGACCGCTGCTTCCCCTTTGCCTGCAAAGCGCAGCAGATCTTCCAATGAACCTAGCCATGCAGCAGAGATTCCCGCACCCAGCCCTTTCAATCCAAGCTTACCTGGATTACCCCGCATGGAAGAGGATCAGGTAGAGGATGACTTCATGCCAGGTGTTGGAGAAGATGTCCCTGAAGATGAGGATGTAGTGGTTGAGGAGTCATATCAAGGAGGCACTACCAATGACAGCATACCCACCCTCCCTCGGGATGTATGTGGTGTACTTGTCTTGCAGTGCAGCGGCTTGCCCGTGTCGTGTGACAAGAGTGGTCCTTTCTCTTTCGGAGATATCAATCAGATGCTTGCCCCATTCCATGTCCGGTTGATGCACTGTTGCCCCAAGACCCTTGCTGTTGATGGCAAATACTTGTGTCACCCTCAGAACCATTTCACTGGATTGCATGCGACAGAAGGCTACTTCCAACATTTCGACAATGGGAAGGTTGAGGTGTGGAACATCGGTCAAGTGGCTTGTCTAGCAGACTCCTCTGAGGTGACTTTGTTCCAGTTGAAACCGGTGAGTGGTGTGAGCAAAGGTTCCTACTTCCAACATTTCGACAATGGGAAGGTTGAGGTATCGAACATCGGTCAGGTGGCTTGTCTAGCAGGCTCCTCTGAGGTGACTTTGTTCCAGTGAGTGGTGTGAGCAAAGGTTCCAGGTCTTGCAGAAATGGTCGGCGGCTCCAATGGTGAGTATGCATGTCCTTTGCATGCATTGTGATGGGTGCTGTGGGAACGTTGCTGCGGCATCATGTTGTGGATGCAACTCTTTATGGACTTGCTGGGCACCAGGAAGTGCAGGTTGCAACTAAGCAATGCTCATCCAGGTCGTGTAGAGCAGTGTGTGGGTACAACTATGTGTGGAGCAATGGGAAGAAAATCAATGCCGTGTGCATCGAGGATTTGAAGGATCAGGTTTTGTTTGTGAACAGTAAGTGTGGGTTTCCCATGGACTACCTGAAATACCAGGAAGAGCTCCAGTTCCGTGGTCATGTTGCTACTCGTGCGGTAGCTCATGCGTACAATTCCGTCTTTCGGGAGGACGTGTCTGTTGTGCTTCGTTGGTTTCGTCAATTACATGAACACGCACTCTTGGCATTGCAAGAGCTTGTTGGCTTGCATCGTCAGATTGAAATTGAGAACGAGGTTTCAGATGAGGCACTGGGCCTTTACAAAGCCCTCTGCTATGGCACCTTCTTTCCCCCACCCAACCGTTCCCAAGTCACTGCAATCGTTGGAGATGGTCATGGTCAAGTGCAGGTCAAATGCAACGAAGGTGCAGGCCCTAAGAAGAGAGGAGGTAGACCCATGCAAAAAAAAAGGAAGGTAGGACGTCACGGGAATGGGTGGTTTGTTCTGTGTGACCCCAAGAGCGGCCGCATTTTGTACATGGGCCCAATGCTTGAACCAGAAGGAAATCAGACCGCAGTCGAGGCGTTGAAGGAAAAAGTATGGCTTTACGCCCGGTGTAACTGCTTGTCTACGACCGCGCAGGTTCTATGGCCCCGTGTGCAAAGAAAGAGGAAGAATTGTCTCAGCTCAAGTGCTACATCATTGTTAAGTTTCATGCTTATCGCCATGGGAAAAATGCAAGTGCAATCCGCGTGTCTTGGATATAATAAGTAGTGTTTTGAGAAGCAAACACAACCCTATTGCTTAAGTATGACGCAATCGATCAAAACTGAAGTCCCTTTGTCTTTGATATTCATCTAGCAAATGTAAGCCTGTTATACCTTTCTTGCACTGAGGTCACATCACCCGCTTGAACGACGAATCAAAGGTTGCAACAGCGGGATTTGTGAACAAACTTTTTCATGGCTAAAGAATTTCGCAGCTACCTTGAACGAAATGCGCTTGAACTGCCACCAGCTCATGATCATGTACCTGGCAAAGAAGCACAATGAGAGCACGGACACAGGAGAGGCAGTGTATATCAACCGATATGCAAAGAAGCGCCCAGCATCGCGAGTGTATGAGTACAACAAGTAGGGTAGCAAGTCTTATGGCTGGAGATCAAGATGGCATGAAACTAAGGTTACTGTCTAGGACATGGCCGAACATTTCAAAATTGGAGCACGCAGTCTTGATCCTCAGACCCAGCATGTTCATAGCTGCAGTGGTTAAACGATTGGTTCCTGCAAGCTTGAATGCATGAAGACACCGAACGGCCAGTGTACAAAAAGGTGCAGATGGCTGAAAGTGACCAAAACCAGAAAAACATTGGAAAAACAAAAAACCGAGAAACAACAAAAACAATTTTCAGAGAGTCTTGCTTGGGACCCCCCCGTCCACAGAGCCTAGAAATATGTTTGTTTTTTGTTTTTATAAGGTTTTTAGCAAGTGTGGGGCACTTCAAGGAAACTGGCATGAATCACCGGCAAAGCTGTCAAAGTGCCTTTGGGAGTGGGGAGTGCAGTAAAACATGTCAAAACATCATCTTAAATCATGGGAAAACTGCACTCCCAGGGGCTGCCGTTCTGTTCTCTTTTAAATAGTTGCTGCTTTTGTCACAAGACTAGCTCTGAGTAGTGCAAATTATTTAATTGCCTTCGGCAAACCCGCCGACCACAGAGAGGTGGCCCCAAGGGAGTTTGATGTGCATTCTAGGTCGAAACCCGCGAGAGAGCAGAAGACAAAAAAGGAGAAGAAAAATAAGAAAAATAAGAAGAATAAGAAAAATAAGAAAAATAAAAAGAATAAGAAGAATAAGAAAAATAAGAAAAATAAAAGGAATAAAAAAGAAAAATAAGAAGAATAAGAAGAATTAATAAGAAAGGAAAACGAAGACAAAACCGTAAAACGGAAGCGGCTTGTGTAGAAAGGTAAGGTTTGCTCTACCAACCTATTGACTATATACTGTATACCAAATTAGTACCGCCCCGAGCAAAGTAGTGCCAGATACTAAGTACCAAAAAACATGCAAAACCTTGGTGGGCGTAAGCCTGTGTAAGCATGGACACACGCTAAATACAGATGACCCTCGCATAAGAGAAAACTCTGGGCGCCGAAACTGTGATGATGCTATTGCTTTCCAGGAGGCAAGACCGTTTGATCAGGCTCACTTGAATTTTGGGTCACTCAACGTACCTGTGGGCTACTGTATGTTTTTTTGCAGCAGTAGTTTTCAGATCGGCCAAAGCCAATTGAAAATAATTGCATATTATAGCCAATCGCCCTCTACAGCTTGAACAGCATAGCATCATGCTCGTATGTTGCCACTCACTTGTAGTCATTGAAGAAGGTTGCACTGTCACATGAAGTCATTTCGCGCTGAGGTTCTTCTGGTGGAAAAACCTGTTGTTCGAGAGAATGTTGCAAATCTTGCTTCTTCAATGGCCCAACGCCGGGGAGACTTTGACCTACTACGAGGCAGACGCTACGGAAGTGACACCCATAGACGCACACAAATGGTGAATTCCTGCCTTCGATCCCCGATTGCAACCGTGCCTTTTGCCAGGTGCGCAGAATCTCGCAGCGGCAGAGGCCTACCATTCCGAAGATACTTTTTCAAGTGAAAGCCGCCGAACGTAATCAGTAGTCTTGACTTTAGTGCTCGTTTTGCAATTTCCACCTTCCTAGCGCAAGATCGCATTGCTGTAGTTCTAACATGCAAGAACCAGAAGTCTGCTGGAAAACGCTGTTCGAATCCTTTGCCTCCCTTCTGAAGAAAACTTACATTATGTCTGCAGGTGCGAGAAGAAGATGCTGCACAGCCCTTCATGCTGGAAGCGGAGACAAATAGCTTTATGTTCCAAGGCTTGTCGCAATATGTTGGATCAACCGTAGGGCCGTAGGGGTTTGCCGAGATTTCCAACAGTTTCAATTGCCTTGATACCAATGTTTGGTCTTGCCTGCCTCGATCTTGCGGCTGTCACCACTTTGTCACTTCTTTTTCTGCTTATTCGTGCACTGGCTAACAGCCAGTCCATGTTGTGGAATATTTCAGTGTCAGCGGGCGGCAATGTGTCTTGAACATGTTGCCTGTAAGTGCAAAAACGATCAAAAACATCTGATGGCTGCGGTGAGACCAGGGTCTTCGCTCATCCCGAACATCGCCATTCCATCAATGTGACTTCCCTGTCCTGTGGCACCACCTTGCCTAATTTGCCAACATGCCGCAGCCCTTTCTTGATTGCTCCAGCATAAACTGAGTATATACTTTTTTGCCTCCAGAACGGGAAGTCTTGACACATGGAAACTTTGAAAATGCTTTGCTTCTGAAAATTCTGATCCTGGTCTACATTAAACATGTCTTTTGTACTGTAAATTACAATCCTTTTACCTCCTAATCCATATACACATGAAACCGCTGCGGATAAACATACAAAGAGCATCCAACTGAAAACAAGTTCAAAAGATCGGCAAACGTGCGCGGCAAACCCAATATGTTGCAATCCCGCCTGTTGCCAAACTCCCTTTGAAGCCAACGAGAAGACATCCAACAGATGTAACTTAACATGCACGTAATTGGAAAGGTGCCACGCTCGCGTACCCCAGCTTTTTTTTTTGCAGAGCAGATTGCATCAAAGACTGACTGAAGACTGCAGCATGACCTGTAAATACCTGTAATATGTGGGAATTGGGGAATCTGTTGAAAAACTTTGAGCCCATCAAGTTCTGTTTGGGTTGATCTACTTTCGTCCTGTTTTGCCAGCAGGAAAGGTTGTGGCGTTCAATGTCTTTTCGATGCTGAACCATGCGTGTGCGGCAAGTACTGAGGAGAACGTTTGCAACTTGACTTGGGTAAGTTGAGTAAGTTTTTTTGCATCCTTTTTTCACTGGTGTAGGGCTTGATTAAGCCTTGTGACAGACAGTATACAAATGTTCATGGTCCACTGTCAGGCTTCTCAATTCTGAGTACGGGCGAAGTTGCCGTCGATGACAATTTGGAGGTGAAGCTAGTGGCTATTCGCGACATTCAGGCAGTGTGGCAAGGTTTAAATTTTAAATCACCATCCACACTGGGCCTCAACTAGCCTTCGGGGCTCGCGCGTCTTAAACTCAAAAACAGCATGGGCAGTTTCAAAACACGCAGGACGTCTATGATTTAAATCCTGGGTCTTTTGGGCCCACCCTTCTTTCATGGACCTTTACCTTGGCCACCCTGGCCCTAACCCTGACACCTGACCCTCACCCTCAGGCAGGTGAAGCTTTGCGTATATCGTATCATGAGCTCTTTGCAGAGCCGGAAGCCAGACAAGAGCGTATCCGAGCTCATTGTGGTGGATTTTGTGCATGCTCTCGATGTGGCTTGCCTTGTTTGAAGATGGAGACATTTGCTTCTAGATCTTCTAGATTTGCATGGGAGTTCTGCTAGTGGACTAGGTCTTCTGTTGCGATCCACCCTGTTTGGAAGCAGAAGCTTCCAGCAGCAGCCAAGCAAAGGCAAAACTACGGGTAAGCGTTTTCCAATTTTCCAAGAAGCAAGCAAAGGCCCAAAATAATACGCAGGAATGCAGATTTCAATTATACAATCTGCATTATCATAAGATACTACACTGCAGACACTACACATTGTGAATAAGGTGAATAAGTATACGGATCTTGCAAGTTGATCTGTAGACCGATAGCCAAAGGAACCCTTGACAGTGCTAGACAATGAGAGCTGTGAGCACTAATTATCAGTAGCTACTCGTATATACGTATATATATATATATAATATTGTTTCAATAGTTTCTATAGTGTGCAATTCCAGATTTGACATGTCCTGGACGTCCCATGTACATAGAAGCTCATAGATTTGCACATACACCAGAAATGACTCCTACCCCCAAGTGTGACTCTTCACATTTTAACATCATAACTAACTATAATATCAGAAAAGGTTGACAGCAAGATTCTGTGCATGCTCCATCACACCACCTTGTGGATAACACGGTGCCAGGGATGTCTGTGGGCTGGGTTCCACATTGTGCAAGGTCACTTGGAACGAGAAGAAGCTGGTTTGGCTGCCACATTGCCACTTTGTGTAGCGAGTAAGCGAGCAAAATGCCAGGTGTGTTCTTCAGAGGAGCCTGCAGAGAAAGGTGAGGTAGTTGAGTTGTTTGGCATCTGTCACCGCGAACTTCAAGGAGCAACTGCGATTTTGCGCGAAGCTCGTTCAGATGGGATGTGTGTTGAGCTTCTGCATCAAGGCCTTCGGCTATGTAGAAGTGTGCCTCGAGATACAGTACGTCGCTTTAATGGGGACGGTAAGGATCTCTTGAAATGCGGTGCCTGTAAAAGCGTGCATTTTTGCTCACGAAGCTGCCAACGTGAAGGTTGGAAAGAACACAAGCGTTTTTGCTCAACATCCGGGACTTGGCAATCAGACAGGGCCAAGTTGGAACACATTCGAAAGAAGTATGAATTGCCAAGTTTCAGACAGTCGGCCTCTGAGTTTGAACTGTCTTCAGCCTTTGAAGACTTCCAATTTTTCATTGAAAAATGGACACAGATTGGACGGAACGTACATTTAGGTTCAGGACATCAAGCTATTCAGGAGGCGATTCTCTTCGCCATTCCGATCGGATCTTTACTGCTGTGGAAAGTGGCCTCACGAGACTCACGCGACCGAGTCGACTCACGAGCAGTTGGACAAGTTGGAGAGATTGGAGATATTGGAAAAATATATCTGCGATTGCTGAAGTTGGCTCACATGAATTTGCGGAATGTTCGACTCCTGGTGCCTAGATTTCACATCGCCCATTGGACAGCCCTGTATTTTGTTAATGGAATTCTGCTTGCTAAAGAGCTTGTGCAGCCAGACGCCCTTGAATCGCAAAACCGTTTGGTCAAAGCGATGTCATCAGACTTTGAAAGATGCCTTGACATTGCAGATGTGTTTGATCCAAACGTTGCAAAGTCTTTCCGATATGGTCAGTCTATGCAGTCTGTGCAAGGAGAGAGCACAGAGGGCACTCACGGCTCCCAGCTAGGCTCCCAGCTATTTCAACAGATGGCACGAGACCCATCAAAGCTCGCAGCTTTCTACAGTATCGATGCTGAGCTCCCGCTGGAGCAAAAGATGGAACAGATGTCGCGTTTGTTATCTGAACCAGCGCCAACATCCATTGCCGCAAGAAACTGCAGACAAGCAGATCAAAGAGATCAGGGAGATCAAACTCGCAAACCACAAAGGACTCCAAACGCCAATCCGAAAAACACCAAGATATCTTGTGCGACCACTTCCAGCATTGCCTCGGAAAGCAGCCAAGAGAATCCGCAGTCCAGTGTGCAATTTGCAGACGCTCTGGGAAAGCGTTTGCCTGTCCAGCAAGCGTGTGCAGAAGCAGTGGATCTCAACATGCTTGACTGAGTGGATCCATGCTTGACGGATTCCATCCGACTCTCTTCCTGTGAGCCTTGAAGCTTTGGCATTTTTGAGGTGACAGGGTACCTGGGGATTCCAGGCTGGCAAGTCCTTCAGCAGTTCTGCAGTAGTTTATAGTCTGCAGTCTGCATGTCCTGAATCTGGAATCAATTGGAATGTATTGGAATCTTGTAGCTTCCTTGCTAGGGGCACAATCTCGAGGACCGATCTGATGCGTCATTACTGAAGTCAATGAAAAGATGTAGAGCCAGGCGATTCACTTGAAAAGACCGGTGAAGGAAATTGAAGAAGCTGATGGAAGCTGGAAGCTCACCGGGCACACCAGTCCAAAGATGACTTGTACATAGCAATTCAGACTGGACTCGAGATGCAAGTTAGTGTACAGGAACCAGGTAAGGCATCATGTGCCTACCTGTGATTTGCCTGAGGTTGTTCATCTTGATTTCCACAAGTCAGTGCATTATAAAACAAATCGCATTAGCGGATCGGTTTGCCATGCTTGCAGTTGTTCGGCTAAGGAGCGAAACGTATGGGAGTACCATCACCGCTCAAGCAGCACGGCAGGACAGTGCGGAGTTTAAGATTTTGGCCATGCGTAGCTGGAGGGAGAATGAATCACCATGATCTGAGTTTGTTCAGTTTTTTTGCAGAAATTTCAGACATATTCAGACTATATTTCTACAATCATATTCAGAGATACTGCGCCTGGCAGGCTCTTGCAAATGAACTTCGTCAAGACATTCGGTCCCTACAAAGTCGCACTGTCCTCAAAGTTTGGGCTTGGATATTTTTCACATTCTTTTCTCACATTCTTACAGCGGTGATCTCCTGCTTCTTAAATCTAATTATTGATGGTCTTGCAAACTCTCAGTATCTCATGTCGAAATCAATCCAAAACATGAAACCATGTGGGTTGTTCAGATGATTTTAGGATGTTTTTTTAGGTTTAGATTTATGTAGCTTGTTTTTGTGCTGGTTTTGAGGCCATGGCGGTGCTGCATCTCAGACAGTGCGGGACTTGTGCCAGAAATTGGTAGTCACTGGTAGTCTCCTGGTGTCTCCAGCGGGTGCCGCTGAGAAAGGCTGTGCCTGGAGCAATTCTTTCAGCAGTGGCGGATAGCCAGGCGCACGACACAAGACAAGTGGCGCTTTCATCGCATCAAACGCTGACTGGATGAAGTCCATATTTTTCTCAGATTTTCTACGTTTTACATTATTTCAGATTATTTCAGATTTTTTTCCCAAACAAAAGGCTGTTTTCTCAGTTTTCAGGAATTCTCCTCTCCTCGCAGTGCTGTCAATCCTGGCTCACAACGTAGTATGCAGCTGAGATGAATGCCCACATCGGAGTGACCTTTGCACTTGACATGTTCTTGAACATCTGAGACAATCTGAGACATCTGTTTCTATAAAGGCTTTTTGGGACTCGCGATTTGTGGCGGTGCTGCTCTAGCTGCATTTGCGTCGACCCCTCAAATTGTTTCAGCCAAAGACTTCTTTCGTCAAGTACTGCTGCTACTGTTAGTGGTCAGCAAAGATCTTCCCCCTAGGTTCAGTCAGCAAAGCGTGGCTGGACTCAGGGATTGTTTGAAACTGTGTCCTTTGTTGAGGCTTTTCATCCTTCAATATCCTTCAATGTCAATTCCGCGAAGCGCATCACCATGAAAGTCATGAAAGCACCACCTTTTGAGTCCTTTTGAGGTACAGCCCCAGAAGGTGGCTGCGGAGGTGCCATGAAAATCTGTGACGTGAAGCAAAGTGAGAGCGATCCAACATGATCCAACATTCTGTGACTTTCTGTGACTTTCTGTGACTTCTGGATTTCCTTTTGGACATAGGGGGTGCTGTGAATGAGCAGATCAATTCACTTGGTTCATATCGTCTTCTCAATTATCAGCAATGGCTGGGCCTTGGAGGCATGCAGCGAAATCACATTGTTCCTACGTACTCAAAGTACTTTCGTGACTTCTCAGTGTTTCAATCCGCAGATGCGTGATATACAGCAAGCTGGAAACACATAGCTCAATCGACTGTATAAAGGTATGGGCCTGAGGCAACAGAATCATCGCCTCCAAGTTTTGGTATCTTTACTACAGTCAACACATGAGTTATATCAGGCAGGGTTAATTGGAGTCAGACTCTCCGATATCTTCTGTAAACTGAAGTCATGACCATCACTCCCAGTAGCCTTCGTTGATGTTTTGTTGTATTGTTTGTCACGTTTCAGGATCCTTCACTTCCCAGAGATCAGCAAAGCAGGCACGGCAGAATTACATGCCAGCGACAGTAGATGGACAGGGCTGCCAGCCCTGGCATTTGTGCTGTAAAGAAAGCAACACACCACTAGTCAAAATGTGCAAGGTGTGCTGATACAGAGTTGTATGGATCATATGTCAGAGTAGGCTTCCATGGCCCTGAAGCATCCTCAAGCTATTGGACTACAATAAGTTGTTGACGTGCTGGGAAGGACGCTGGAGGGTTAGGGCGGTCGGTCTTGACGGTCTTGTTGAGTCATATGAGGGACATTTATCACTCTGTTCCTTGGAGGAGCAGATGTTACTAGATATTACTTGATGTTACTAGATGTGATTATAATTGATTATATAAATTATATAGATGTCTAAAAATGTCTTATCAATTCTTATAGTATAACCCTAAGGCAACTTCCGCCCTGCCTCGTGCGGGTACTACTGGTATTAGATTTTATTGGATGTTATTGGCATTGGCCTCAAATTTGAATACAAAGGTCTTTTCCCGCCCAAACTGCAGCTGCGGCCGCCCAGAGCAACAATGAACCTGCCTCGTGTTAAGTTCATGATTCAGTGCTAGTGCTGGCCGCAGGCCTTCCCACTCTGCTGCTTCAGCCAATGAAACTGTGCCTATTGTTGAAGGCACATCAAGAGACGTGGGGAGAAGTGGGGAGAAGTGGGAGCATGGCCAGAGTCTTTAAGTGGAACAAATTCTGCAGAGGCAAGAGGAAAGGACTGGGTGCAAGTGGAGACCGTGAAACGCAAAGTGCTCCTGTCATAGGTGCCTTGTGCTGACACTGACACTGACACTGACACTGACACTGACACTGACACACAGACACACAGACACACAGACACACAGACACACACACACAGACACAGACACAGACACAGACACAGACACAGACACAGACACAGACACAGACACAGACACACACACACACACTTTATTGGCAAATTGGCATCAATCTCCCCGGCAAATTTCCCAATCAAATGCTTTTTCTTTCATGGGTGATGGATGGTGATGGACCCACACCTCCAAGATTGTGATCTCTTGTGATCCTTGTATACAATGTGGCTTTGGGTGCCGAAGCAACCCGGCAAGAGCATACCTATTTGTCAATTGTGAAAAGCACATTTCTTCGAAAGCATGCATGGCATCAAACCACAATGACTTTAACATACTTTAACGCTGAATCTGGTGAACCAGGTTTATACCCAAGCAATCGCAAGCAGCTGTGGTACCTGTCAGAGGCAAAAAAGAAGACATGCCGAAGCCTGCTACAAACCAAGCGCCTAATCCCAGGCAGAGCGAGACCCAGGCTCCAGATTGCAAAGCGTTTTGTTGACAGGATATTTGCTTGCACAACTCCAATTGCTCTTGCCAGAATTGTTCATTTAGTGCATGACATAGCAACCTATCCTGTGCTTTCTTTTGCTTTTCAGTTAGCTTACAGAGGCCTAGTTACCCGGAGGTCTTTTGACCCGATTCTGGACATGTCTTTGGATGAGTGGTTTTCTATGACTTTCTTGTATTGGATTTTGTGCCAGGAGTGTACTAGTTGAGTTCTTTTCCCGAATGCGTAGCAAGGGTTCCCGTTTCACTCTGGGGGTCTGGGGGTTGAGGGTGTGTTCGCTCGACGTTGCTTCCGCGTCCGCAACCGTCCGCAACCGTCCGCAACCGTTCGCAACCGTTCGCAACCGTTCGTGTGAGGACCGTATGGCCGTGCCTATAGGAAGTTCTGCAGAGGTGGTCATTTTTGGAGGTTTCCAACGTTTCGTTGCTTCGTTTCGCGTGGCAGGCGTGGCACTTTGTGACATTCAGACGTGTTTTGCAGCGTGTTGAAAATCGTTTTGCGTGGCAGGCGCAATACTTTTGCGACGTTTTCAGACGATGCGTGGCAGTTTTCGTGGCAGGGGCAGCACTTTGGACGCGTCCATCGTCATTTTTCGTGGCAGGCGCAGCACTTTAGACGTGTCGTGTTGCGTGTTTTTTGCAAATCGCATTGGCAGGGCTGCGTCAAATGGCGACAAGGTGCAAATTCCGTGGCAGGCGCGGCATTTTGTGAGATGTGATGAAAATTGACGGAAGCCTCGCACGAAACATCGATTTTGAGGTAGCACAATTTAGAGGTTCCTAGGAAAACTCGTAGGAAAACGTCGATTTTGAAGGTACAAAGTGTGAAAATTGGAGGAAGTCTCGCACGAAATGCTCGTTTTGGTGCTCGTACGTGTCTCGTCTCGCGTCTCTGGTTTTATGGTGGCCTCGCCGTGTCTATGGGGGAAGCTGCAAAACATGTCCTTTTGGCATGTTTCAAAGTGTGGAAATTGGCGGAAGTCTCGCACGAAATGCTCGTTTTGATGCTCCCAGGTGTCTCGTCTGGTTTTCCTGTGGCCTCGCCGTGTCTATGGGGGGAGCTGCAAAACCTCTCCTATTCGAATGAAGCAGGTTGTCATGTCGTTTTGCGTGGCAGGCGTGGCACTTTGTGACATTCCAACCTGTTTGATACCGTGTCGAAAATGTCAAAATTGGAGGAGGCCTCGCACGAAATGCTCGTTTTGCTGCGCCCACGTGTCTCGTTTGGAGTCTCTGGTTTTCCTGTGGCGTCGCCGTGTCTATGGGGGAAGCTCCGCACTCCACACTCTACACTTTACACTCCAGACTCCACACTCCACAATTTACACTTTAGATTCCACACTCTACACTTTACACTTTGCACTTTACACTCCTCACTCCTCACCTGAAACTTTACACTCCACACTCCACACTTTACACTACACTCTACACTTTCCACTCCTCACTCCTCACTCTACACTTTACACTCCACACTCCACACTTTACACTCCACACTTTACACTACACACTCCTTACTTTACACTCCACACTTCACACTCCACACTTTCCACTCCACACTCCACACTCCACACTTTACCCTCCACACTCCACACTTTACACTCCTCACTCCACACTTTAAACTCCACACTTTACACTCCACACTCTACACACCACACTCTACACTTTACACTCCACACTTTACACTCCACACTCCACACTTTACACTCTACACTCTACACTCCACACTTTACACTTTACACTCCACGCTTTCCACTTTACCCTCCTCACTCCACACTTTACACTCCACACTCTACACTTTACACTCCACACTCCACACTCCACAGTTTACACTCCACACTCTACACACCACACTCTACACTTTCCACTCCACACTCCACACGCTACACTCTACACTCCCCACTCTACACTTTACACTCTACACTTTACACTCCACACTCTACACACCACACTCTACACTTTCCACTCCACACTCCACACTTTACACTCTACACTTTACACTCCACACTCCTCACTCCACACTTTACACTCCTCACTTTACACTCCACACTCCACACTCCACACTTTGCACTTACACTTTACACACTCTACACTCCCCACTCCACACTTTACACTCCACACTCCTTACTTCACACTCCACACTCCACACTCTACACTTTCCACTCCACACTGCAGACTGGTAACAAGGGAAACATGTACAAGACTGTTCAAATAAAGTATTGCAGAAAGGTATTGTGTGTGACTGCATAACCATGTGTTTTGACATCTGTACCATTAACATACGTGTGAGCATTCGGGTTCGTGGGCTTCATCTTGTTTTTTTGTCTTTTGAGATACAGAATGATACAGACATGTAGCTGGAAGTTGTGCACGTTTGGTATGAATGCTTTCCCACACTTTTTCAGAGCTTTGGCCGCGCGCTGTCACTATAACTGAATATGACCGCTCTGCAGGCAAAAACAATGGGGCTTGACGCAGCAGGTCTGTTCCGGACAACTCCTAGTGACTTAGTGCTACCAGTGAACAGGTGAGTCTGAAATCAAAATTCTGACCTGACTATTGAATTGAGCACTCGTATTGGAGTCTGTTTTTGCTGTAGCCACCTTTCGTTCAATATGATGTTCGTATGTTTTCAATACCAGAAATGCATAAATTGGAGTACTTCAGATTGTGGATTTCCCGGTTTGGAGGCAAAACGAGTGGAACTGAACTAGCCAGACTCTGAGAGAAAAGCTTTGTGGAAGAGTTTCAAATCTCCAGCGATACATTGTGGAAAAGTTGATCAAAGTTGATCAATCTTTTTCAGCTTTTTGGTGATTTTCAGAATGAAGCAGCACATTGCAGGCCAGTCCGAGTGTGTTCGTGTGTTGCAGGCAATGGATATGAAGGTCATCGCAGCTGTGTCGTTGGTGGCCCCATCAGCATGTTTTGTGCTCTAATATGCCCTAACATCATACAGCTTGGCAAGGCATCGTACCAAATTGATCCATATTGCAGGTGCTGTTTCAGCTCCAGCCTCTAATAGCCTCCCAGAGATTCCCCACCAAGAGCCTCCAAGAGTCTAAGATGCTCAAGCCAGGTAATTGGACTTGGTTTCTGGTGGATTTGGAGACAGCCTCCCGGAGGCCAATTTCTTTCGAATGTTGCAAGTTTGATCGAATTTGTATTTAAAGATATTTAAAGTAGGGAGACTTTCAGGAACTTGGGACAAGTTGGGAGATCTTTGTTCCCTTGAGCGCGGAATTACCGTAGCAGTTCACAGGGCCTCCAGTCCTGGACTCAACAGAACAAGTTGCTGGGCCCTCAACCACCCACCTACACATGATGGACACGTCTTTGCAGAGTGCCAACATTTGCGACAAGCAAAGACAAATTGTGTCCCCTTGCCACTGAGGACAAACTTGACATGCCAATGCCTGATATGCCATCGTCAAAGGGTGCCGCTCTAGGAGCCAAGGGGTCCACTTTTTTGGAGTGGCACTGTAAGCAAGAGCAAGATTGCAGATAGTGCCAGAAACCTGAAAGGACAAACTGATTCGTTTATCCGCGCAAGACAAGCAGGGGAGGCGTGGAATCATTTGGAATCAAGCAACCTCAATGTATTGAACATCGTCTGCAACGCAGTGTGTGGTTATTGTGACATGTTGAGGGACAAAGATGGCATCAGACAGCTCAGGATCATGTCGCATTTGTATTTGCTTCGCTGGGAGAGGTCATTTTCGAGAATGCTCCGAAGGTGGCTATCGAAGCACTTGCATGCAGATATACATTATACATTATTCTTATTGATTTTTCATTTAAGGCGTGGGGGGCATCGTCATCAATTCTATCAAAGTGATGAATATATAACTCTTCAAACCACAAATGGAAAAACATGAAAAACATGAAAAAACATCACATACACTTTGAGGGTTTCCTCACCATTGCAGAAGCACATTCTGGACCTGCACCTTCCACAAGAAACCAAACAGCAAACACCATGGTTGAACTGTAAACCGTCGAGGACTGTAAACGCATTCAAGTGATTTCTGTAGCTGCAAATGTTAAAAGCTCACAGTGTGTGCATTTGTTCTGACATATTCTGAATGTGGATTGTGAGTGAGTGAGGATGGCCAAGTCTGGGATATGTCTGCAAGTGCAGCACACTTAGTCTCTGCATGTTGGGTTCATGAGCCCGTCTGGAGCCACGATTCGTCACTGGTTAAATCGCCGCTAATCAGCTGCACGGTGCAGCTCAGGTTCGCGGTATCCAGGGTGGCGTGCAGGAGAAAATCACTAAGCAGAGCCGGCACAAATTGAACACGGGGACAACACAGTGCAAACAGTGCACAAATGGTTGCACACATCATCACACATCCTTGTTCACAAATTTGCACTTTGAGTGATTCATGATTCATGACCCATGGTTTTCCACTTCGCATAGGTTTCAGCGCTAAAGAGCCTCCGGAAACTGCAAAAGGCAGTTGCCAGCCATAGTGAACCCCAGATGAGTCTTTTAAATCCAGCCTGAGACAACCACTTGAAGCCCATGTCGTTCAAGCAGCACCATGTCGCTTCTTGTACAATCAGAAACCAAACAGCACTGACATCTTTCTGCTGACTGTATCAACCGTCTTTTTGTTTCTCAAGAGTCTCTTTGTCCACGGTTAGGGCTAGCAAGGTCAGTTGTTAGGAAATTAGACTAGCTGGCTGCGACTTGTACATACTGTACGCTATAGAGGCTGTGTCAGTGCATGGCTTGACCCGAATTCTACCATACTGTATTTTATTGCCTTCGGCAAGCCCGCCGGCCATAGAGAGGTGGCCCCAAGGGAGTTTGATGTGCACTCTAGGTGGAAGCCCGCGAGAGAAGCAGAAGAGAAAAGAAGGAGAAGAAGAATAAGAAGAATGGAATAGGAAAGGAAGACGAAGACAGAGCCGTAAAACGGAAGCGGTTTGTGTAGCAAGTGCTGGCTGTAACAACCTATTGATCGTATACCAGATTAGTATCGCCCCCAGCAAAGTAGCGCCAGGTGCTATGTATGAGCCTCTGGCTTGACAGCAGACCCCTGCATGGAAGGAGACAGGGTGGAAGCGGAGAGAGACTGCCCCAAGGGAAGTTGATGTGCACGCTAGGTGGAAGCCCTGAGAGAAGCAGAAGAGGAAGAAGAGGAAGAAGAGGAAGAAGAGGAAGAAGAGGAAGAAGAGGAAGAAGAGGAAGAAGAGGAAGAAGAGGAAGAAGAGGAAGAAGAGGGAAGAAGATGAAGAAGAGGAAGAAGAGGAAGAAGAGGAAGAAGAGGAAGAAGAGGAAGAAGAGGAAGAAGAGGAAGAAGAGGAAGAAGAGG